GATCTATTCATTATAATTAAGAAGCATAAGTTGTGATAAAAAGTTAAAAGCGAAGATTGTGGCTAAATTATGACCAAAATAAAATAAGAAGAAAATCAAGAGGGAAGTAAATACGGCATGTTTAAAATACAATACATGATCTAAAGTGTTTTCTTTATACTTGATTTTTTTTTTTTCGAAAGGCAAAAGATTTAATTGAATGAGTACAAGAAGTACCCAAACCCGTATACATTAGTCAATCTCTGGTAGAATGAAGAACCAAAAAACAGTATAGTGTTGGGAGACTCATTTACAAAAACTTGCAGCACCTGGGGTTTAAGATCCAGTCAGAGAAGCAGAAATGTACTTCCTTTCCTTTGCTCTTGACCCAGAGGAAGGCTTGAGCTTGAACTTGATCAAAAGTCTTTGTCAATTCCATTGATTTACCTCTAAAGATTACCTCATTACTGGTAATCCAGATGGTCCAGACAAGAAAAAACCACACTATAATCCAACCCAGTCGTTCACTACTTTTAGTAGCTAAGGATTCATGTTGGATGAAAGAATCCCAACATGAACCAGCAATGGCAGTGGAGAAGCCCCACCATTCGAAGCACATTGACCAGATTTTTGCGATAACTGAGCAGTGGAGAAAAAGATGGTTGCTGTCTTCCACATTCCGTCCACAAAGGCTACACTTAACAGCCTCCATCTCCTTAATTAATCCCCTTTTCAACAAGTTGAATTTTGAGAGAATCCTGTCAAGTAGTAGTAGTCAAGTGAATCCACAGACTTTGTGAGGAATAAGGGGGTTCCAAATCTTCTCAAAAACTTGTTGGTATGGTGTGGGTTGATGTTGGACCAAAGCAGTGTATCCTGAGCTTGGAGAGTAATCACCCAACTTATCTCGTTCCCAGGTCCAAGTGTCTTCCTTCCCTATGGTCAGGTTGGTCTCCTTGAGAAGCTTGTTGAGATCTTGCATGGAATCTTGCTCCCAAGAGTGTGGGGTGCATCTCCAAGGAAGGTTCCAAACCCATTTGTTATTTATACTTGAATTGAATTCACGTGTATTTTGTATGGATAAAATTTTCCTATTTAAATTTTAAAGTGTATAATTGTATTTACTGTGAAGGTTGTGT